TGTCCAAAAATTCTCATAATTATTGGAAAACTCATGTTCAGTGTTCTTTCTTCTCATATACTAGAAGATCAAATTTTTATGTAAAAATTTCTGTTCTGACTAGGACAATCACCATAATGAAATGTATTTGCTGGGTATGCATAACAGGTATAAAAGACCTGGTATATCAGATGGGAGGAATAAATACATGAAGGTTCTAATTTCCCTAATGAAGACCAAAGCCCTAACCTACCCAATTAATCTTGAAAAGTGAAAATACTTCCAATTAATACAAATTGAAAATATGAATGTATTAATTTATTCCTAGAGAATTTAAATTTGATCTAACAGGCACATATTATTTTTAAAACTGCTATAAACAAATAGCCTAATCTTTAGTAACCCAGCAATTTACTGCTGTTTCTCTTTGTTATTTTACTCACATGCATGCACACATTTACGTACATTTGAAATGTGAAGATATAATTGTTTAATATGTTTAAAATTTAAACAATTTTATTTTTCATCTTTTAGTCTTAATATTTATCATATAAAAATGAATTTTATTCCAGAGAATATCTTCAAGCATTTCAGAATTTTCTTTATCTTTCATATTTAGGTTACATTCCCTACTTCTTGCTATTAGAAGTAACACTGCAAATCCTCTTTCTTTCATCTGTATTTCTTGCTTAGGGTGAATTCTCAGAACTGGGACTATTAGATCAAAGGATGTTAATTTTTTTTTTATTCTTAGACAATCTTTGGCGAAGGTCTTCTGTCAGCATAAAGTTGCCTAATCAATCTTAGTTTATAGAAATGCTTTGGTATTTTTTTTTTGTTTTTTGATAATTAGCAAAGTTTATATAGAATAAAGTTGTATTTAACCTTAAAATTCCATAGTACTTTCAGTATCCATTTAAAGAAGCAAATTGTTAGAATTTCTTTGAAAACAATACTCTGTTAGCCTGATTATGAGGTTATTTATTAAATGATGATGTAATGATTGTCTTCTAGGGTTTATCTCTTCTCAGCTAAAGCAAAAATAAAAAAACACTCAGTTTAGCTCTTCTCCCATCTCACAGACATAAATCCAGTGTAAAAGGTCTGGCACATTCCTTCAGTAATTCCCTTAGGTGCTGGAGAATTTTACAACTTCTACAGCTGCAATTTTATTTAAACTTAGATGAGAGTGGAGAAGAGGGAAAGATTATTAAAGAAAAGATGACAGCCATCTGTATTCTCATTTATAATAAGGTAAAAAGAGAGGATATAGAGTTAAATTTCTTTTAGAAAAAAGTCCAGGATAAAAAAATATTTTGAAAGCAGTGTACTCAAAGAACACATCAATAGAAAACATTTTATCTTGGCCTAGTTTGCATCTTTAGGACCCAGTTTCATCTTATTCATATTCTATGAGATTAATAAAATGACTTATTTATATATCTTCTATTCTTTCATTCTTATCACCTCTTTAATACCAAAATCACCCTTATATGAGGGTAGTTACTAATGACTTGTGAGAACTTAGTACCCAAACTAGGACTAAAGTAGAGTCTCTCCCACAAATTTGATGTTGAAGAATGGACTTCTCTTAGTCCTAGCTCCTATTTCTGTAAAATGCAAGATAACTATCATTCTGTAAAATATCTGTAAAAGAAATATAAGACAGACTGAATGGTCTGTAAAATTATGGCTTAGTCTCAGAATCTTCATGCTAAGTCCATTAATTGTGGCACTGTAAGATACTATGCATATATAATATAAGAAAATAAGAGATATTAACCAATTAAGACAGACATTTCAACAGAAAATATACCATAGTTAAATTTGGACCCAATGAATCCCAAGCTTTTGTATAATTCTTTTTGTTAAAGTGTTTAGTTTGTAAAATGAGTTTATTATCTACAGAGAAAATTATGAATAAAATTCCTCTTGAATCTATTTGATGAAAAATCCCATGAAAGGCTAATATGAAAGTTTCTGGAAAGTTAATCCAGTAAAATTGTGTGTTTTACTGGATTAACCAGCAAGTTAAAGGACAGACTCAAACACTAGACCTGGTTTTAAAAAGTCATACATCTTTACAATTAATTTTGAAAGCTTTGGTCCACCTATCATCTTTTAATATGAATGGTTTTCAGATTGTTTTGAATAGCTCTGAAACATTTTTAAAAATCAAACTGAGCCAGGTGCAGTGATATGCACCTGTAGTATCAGCTACTCAGAAGCTTGAAGCGGCCGGGCACGGTGGCTCAAGCCTGTAATCCCAGCACTTTGGGAGGCCAAGGCGGGTGGATCACGAGGTCAAGAGATAGAGACCATCATGGTCAACATGGTGAAACCCCGTCTCTACTAAAAATACAAAAAATCAGCTGGGCATGGTGGCGCGTGCCTGTAATCCCAGCTACTCAGGAGGCTGAGGCAGGAGAATTGCCTGAACTCAGGAGGCGGAGGTTGCAGTGAGCTGAGATCGCGCCATTGCACTCCAGCCTGGTAACAAGCGAAACTCTGTCTCAGAAAAAAAAAAAAAAAAAAAGGAAAAAAGAAGGTTGAAGCTGGAGGATTGCTTGAGCAAGACCTTGTCCCGTAAAAAACAAACAATGAATAAAACTGAGCTGCTTGACACTGAGAAAAGTCAGTATAGAAACTATGAGAAATATATACTGGGAAAGAAGTATTTGAAGGTTCTTGCTTCCTTTTTGTAAATCGAGTGACTATTTAAAGAAATTGTCTCAAACTTTGAACCTATTTCTCTTTGGACTCTCTATTAAAAAATATGAGGATACGAACTTCAATAACGATTCCATCCATCCTTTCTCCTAAAAGAACCATCGTTATTAGAGGATGTTATTCACTATTGTGAGAATCACCAACTAGCAAACTATTAAGCTAGTCTGAGTCCATCAGTGATTCTATAAATATGACACAGCCAAGATATTAAAGTGACAAAACTTACATTTCCCAAAGAAGGTAAATTTTATGGAAATGAATCATGTAGCCTGTATATATAACCAAATGCCAGTTCAGTATATACACAAGAACTAGACTCAAAAGTTAAGTGGTAAATGTCTTAACATTCAAAATTTCGTATGGCTTCTTTATTACTGAGACCTTATTATGAAGAAAATCTATTTCTTCCTATAACCACTGGAAAGGTTTCTGGTACAGGTTTGATACAAAAGCATCCCTAATCAGGAAACCATTTTAAATGAATTTTTTAGACACTGAGGCTCAATAAGACTTTGACAGATTTAAAAGGAAAAAGAAAATTCAAAACTAAGTGAGACAAATTAGTCCAATTACTTATACGTCTCAAACTCGTCCTAACTAGGAGAGACTAATTAATAGAGACTGATGAGAACAGATTGAGTGGCATTGCTAGTCACAGCCTCTTAGCTGGATGAGACTGCATCGGTTAAGATTAGCATCACAGAAAAGAAGTGGTAGCTGTATTTGAAAATGACATGAATACCAATTGATGAAAGGAAATTGTTTTACAAACCAAATCAACTTCAAACTACAGATTAAATTAATAATGATTAAGATCTTGATAAATCAAGCATTCTACCATAAAACCTTCAAAGCACAAAGCCATAAAACCATTTTTATAAACTAATTTTGATCCATCAGTTGCTTCATAAAAAAGTTTCATTAAATATACCCACTGTTCTTTCTTAACATCTTATTCAAAAATAATTACAGTCACGGAAAGTTTCAAAGGCATGAACAGAGACATCCTATGTACCTTTCCTCCAGTGTCCAATGTTAACATCTCACACCACGATTGTATCAACAATTTGACTTCAATACTTCATAGAGCTTATTCAGATTTCACTGTCTGTTTGTCTGTCTATCTATCTATCGATCAATTGATCGAATGATTTATTTTTGAGACGGAGTTTCGCTCTGTTGCCCAGGCTGGAGTGCAGTAGCACCATCTTGGCTCACTGCAACCTCCACCTCCCTGGTTCAAGCGATTCTCCTGTCTTAGCCTCCCAAATAGCTGGGATTACAGGCATGTGCCACTAGGGGTTTCACCATGTTGGTTTGGCTGGTCTTTAACTCCTGACCTCAGGTGATCTGCCTGCTCAGCCTCTCAAAGTGCTAGGATTAGACGTATGAGCCATGGCGCCCAGCCTGATTTCACTAGTTACAAATGCACTTATTTGTGTAATTTTATCTCCGGTAGTCGTGTTACATGACCACCACTAACATCAAGATATTCAACTGTATTGCTCCCCATGTTACTCCTTTGTAACCACTAATCTTTTGTAAATACTAATCTTTTGTAAATAATTAATAAACAAAAAAGGTCAAACCGCCGTTCTATATTAGCCACAGTGTCAAAAGTAGATATATTAAAGATTAAGGAGTAGAAAATAACAGTGTATGAGCTTTCTTTTCATTTTGTTTTAAGTCCCAAATGAATCCGAGGTTAAGAAAACTAAACAAGTGACAGGAGGGAAGGTGACAGGCAGCTCAGAAGGTAGCAGTGTATTGACTATCAGCAAGAAAGGAACAGAAAAACATTTCAGTGGAGGTCGAGATAGCTGGTGTAGTCACTCCAACTCAAGCAGTGCAAGGCAGTCAATTTCCCAACAGATTCCTAAAAATACTAGATTAAATTAACTAAGGCCAAAATGGTGTTATGCAGGTAATCATAAAAAAAAAGCAATTAAACTGCTTTCATCTCACAGACCGGTCATACAGTATACTTAAAACATGTATTATTAAATTCAATGTATCATTTAACAGTAACATGGATTGCTTAGGCTTAAAATTGAACCATGCATTGAAATAGTTGGTATTATAGGAAAAAAGACTTTAAAACCAGAACATATGTGTATACATTTACTAAAGACATCTAAATGCCACCATAAATATGAGAAGCTTTTTCAAAATGCAGTGACTAACCAGAGGTAAGGAAACTAACATCAAGTTCCTTAATCACGGGCATCAATAACCACGAAAAATAAAATAATTCTAATTCATTTTGTAATTCTCTCAAATCCAACACTTACATTCAAATTTTAGAATCCAGCATCCATTGAGAATCCCAAGCATACACTTCAGGGTACTCTGAACTGCATCACCAGGAACAACAACATGAGTTACTAAAACAGAAAAAAAAGCAGTAAGAGAAACAAAGATATAAGCCAAAATACTTCTTTGGCCTGCTTTTTATAACTAATCTAGATTTTGTAAACTTATATCTGAATTTTCTTCCAAGGCAACAATTTTTACACTGAAGTGTATGTCTTCTTCTATTTGGTATCTAGTTCTATAACCTGTCCATCAATATGAAAAATCAGATCATAAACCATGTATCTTAAAGCCATATTAGCAAACAAATTTTTATTTAATTTTCAAATTATAGCTAAGGGATTATGACATTACATTGCACTACAATTTATCTGTCATTAGCAAAGTCATAAATTTGCTCTTCTCAAATACTGTCTTGTCCTAAAATATATGCAAACTTTAAACTTTACATTTCCTAACTACATTAAGTCTATAAGTAGTTTATTACTGAAAAAATTATTTTAGATTTTACAAGATGCAAAGTATACCACCATCTCCCAAGGGTTAAAATATATGTAAATTATCAAAGGTAGTTCTCCAAAGGGATCATCTATTTAACATTTTTTTCTACCCCCCAAAAATTCAAAATCCTCACCTGTACTGTCAAACTCAGTACGTTTTTTAGCCTTAAGAATTGCTGCAAGCTCACTGAGCATTTTCTGTTGTTCTGAAGAAAGCCCACTGCCTATAAGGACAAGAGGTCCATCCTTTCGCTGCCCAGTGTTCATCTGTTAACACAAAAGGAGATGCCAAGTGTTAAAAACATTAGAAGACTAGACAAAGACATTAAACAGACCTTTACTTGATATAAGCTTGAATTTCATTACTTTGCTTACTCTACTAATAATTCTCAATGATTTCCATTGAATCTATACCCAGAACCTTTTAAATAATTGTCTCTTTATTTTTCCCTCAAGAAAATGTCAATCGAGATAGCTTTCTATACCCAGGGCATCTTGTTTCTTCAATTTTAAATTGTGTCTCTCTAGGGTTTTACTTCATTCTGTCACCACTAAGTCTTTTTCTTTCCCCAAGTAACCAAAAATATCCACTTAAAATGAGCAATCCCCTATTCCACCTCCACTAACTTGTCCCAATAGAGTTAAACTCAAAAGGTCTGTTTAGTTTAAACTGAGATTATCTGAAAAATCAAAGAATGCCAAAGCTTCTAGAACAGTGCTGACCCCAAAGATAGAAAACAAATTTTTATCATCAAAATAGTAACCACCTCAAAACTAGGAAAAGATAAAAACAGACAAGTTAATTCAAAACTTAGGAGATCAGATCCATAAACAGTAAGAAGTCCATGCAGCTCATGACTAAGAAGTATTCTAACAAAGACTAATAGTTTCACTTTAAAATCTAGGCTTACAATTTATAGACGACAAAAAAGACAAAAATAATGAGAAGCAACAGTGGATAGCATTAAAGCTTAGAAGTGAAAGACTCAAGCAAACAATGTGTGTGTGTGTTTATGTATGAGTATATATATATTTCCATAAAAGTGTTTGCAAATGACAGAATTCAACACTTAAAAGTTCAGCTAATCTTTCCTGGTCACTAAATTGTAAGATGATATAACCACATCTAACTTAAATGCTATAAACACTCCTCACATGAAAATAAATAGTTCAGTGTATTTTATGGATTGTTCAATTACTCTTTAATATTGAAAAACACTACAGTATTTTAGAAATTCTTGTAAGTTACACAAATACCATAAAATAGCTCTAAATAGAACAAATTACTTCTCAATGTATATAACTCCACTTCAGCTAAATCAGTTCTCTGCACAAAACTTGAGAGTGAAAAAGATATCATTTCTAAATATAGCATATGATACTATCTCTATCAACTCAAGTAAAGCACTAAAGTGGGTCAAGTATTTTCCTATCATACTTTTTAAAATTTGTATACAAATAGAAATGGGCACTAATTTCTCATAGTTAAAGAATGCTATAATAAAACATAAAGCAAACAGCTGCCAAAGCTACATTTCTGATTTGGGGTGGCGTGGCATGGAGGCTGGGGATTTCACTTGAATAAGCATAGGTCTCACTCCTGTAAGGCTCAAAAGAGGTGCAGAACACACCCCAAGGGTTTAATACTCTGATTTTACAGAGATTAGATACTATGTTCATTAGCATTCAATAAATTCAAAGATTAAATAGAGTACTTTTTCTTAGATAAAATCATTAGTTTTTACTAAATAAGTTCATCAAAAATGGGGTTTAAAAATCTAGAGAAAAGTTAAAAAGATAAACATGCTGCTCAGAATGAATCATGAACAGAGAAGTCTCAAATGAATGACAAGGAGCTTTTTAAATTTTTGTAAGATTAGAGGTTGCTTTCCAACGTGGTTTTCCAATAGCTGCTACATTTTACTTAAAACACAAAAACTCTAAAGAGGAAGTAGAGAAATTAAAACCAATTCCCTTCTGCAAGATGCTCCCTAAAGCAGCTCATTGAACAACGCTGATTTACAGGATTCCAGACTAAGCTACCAAGCACTTGTGCTTGTTTCAGAGGCAAGATTGTATCATAAAGAACACTCTAATGCTCAGACATGTATTCAGCACACACTTACTGCACACTCAGTATGTGCCAAACACTGTTCTCAATGCTAGGGCTACTGAAGAAAACAAAAGAGCAAGTCCCTGTCCTCACACCATTTATATTCTAGTTGAAATGGGAAAGCAACACAATGTGAATGAAGAAAACAATTTATAGTTGCTGAGTATGGTGAGACTGAGTTGAATATTGACCTAAGGCTTAAGAAATGTGAGTTCTAACTGGTCCTTTAATAAAAAAAAAAACACAACCTTTTATTTTTAATGGCTGATTAACCCTGGGGAAACATAGCCTCTTATTTTTACAAATTTTCTCATTTGCAAAGTAAGGAAATTAAACTGCTGATTTCTAGCTTCTCTTCCAATTCATTACCAAAACTACAGTTTGGAATACCTTTACAAGGCTGAAGTCTAAAGCAGAGGACATGGGGCTTTCAAGATACGTAAGTAGCTAGCCCATGAAAGCATCTATGAGTATCAAATTGTAGCTACCTTAGGCTACCTCCTTATCTTAAACAATGGTATCTACCACTACTCTTATGAATGATCCTTGACCTCAGCTCATCCCTTTATGTTATTTTCCTCCATCTGAGCAGTACTGTGATATGGTGGGTCTAACAATTCTCTTGAAAACCCCTCTTCTTCTCTCCATCCCCATGTAACTACCATCTATAATTCCAGTCATCAGCATTTCAAACCCGGACTCCACTACTAGAGCCTCCCACCCAACCAGCCTTCAGTTTCTTCCCACTTCCAGCTATCCTGCCGACAGTCCTATTTCAGTCTAAAACACACTGAAGGTGCCCTATTAAGTCTAAACTTGTATCGGCGAATTTAAGGCCTTTCACTATCTGGTCCCAATCTAGCCCTGAATCCCTCTTTAACACACTACATGCTCCTGTACAGTAAACGCTATAGTTTCTCAAATTCCTTAGGTCCTTTATGCCTCCTTGTCTCTGAGCAGCTGTTTCTTAGATTTGAGCTGCCATTCTCACTTTGTACACCTGATTTCAGTGGGGAATGTTGGCTGTGCACTCAAAATCGATTGCTCATTTCCTCCACACTAACAGAAGGCCAGTTTTGTTCAGGTAGCCCCCCTTTCAAAGACTGACCCTATCTCCAGCCCCAGGGTATGTCACAACCAATTTCTGACCAGCTCTGACCACTAAGACACAGGGGAAGTCCATGGCAAGGCTTCTGTGAAAGACTTTAGTGTCTCTTTTTCAGTTGGCCACTGTTATATCAAGAATTGTGGTAATCATCATTCTATAACCACTAAATTAAGTTTCTTAGTGAGGACAAATCTACCAAACTGAGGATGGCAAGTAAAGAGATACAAAGAATTTGGTTCCTTGCTGCAACCACTAAGTGCTAAATTAAGCAAATGCAGAGCTATCCTACATTGGGATTAATTATATATAAGGTAATAAATTATCTTCAAGCATTTGAGAAAAGGTTTTCTGTTATTAGAAACAGGCAGCCAATAGCATTCTATTAGATACTTCGCTGAAGTGTTTACCCTGAAAGACTTAAGATACTTTTTCTATGAAATTCTGTTTTTATTTATTTTTTGAGACAGTCTTGTTTTGCCACCCAGGATGGAGTGCAGTGGCATGATCTCGGCTCACTGCAACCTTCATTTCCTGGGTTCAAGCAATTCTCCTGCCTCAGTCTCCCTAGCAGCTGGGACTACAGGCGCATGCCACCATGCTCGGTTATGTGTTTTATTTTTCATAGAGATGGGGTTTCAGCATTTTGGCCAGGCAGGTCTTGAACTCCTGACCTCAAGTGATCCGCCTGCAACAGCCTTCCAAAGTGCTGAGATTACAGGTGTGAGCCACCATACCTGGCCTTTCTGTGACATTTTTACAGACCTCTCCTGTAGTTTCTATTTAAGCTGATTCTACCGTATGCTTTTATAGCTGATTTTACAAATTTTTTACAATGTACAGTAAAAGTTTTTACATCTGAAATCCCTGCTAAGCTATGGGTTTCTAAGAAACAGGCATTCTTTCCACTTTATCTCTAGCTTGTACCTCTCTCCTAAGCTCCAGATCTCTTCGACATCTCCATTTGACGTTTTACAGACATCAAATCAGCACACAGAACTATTGATTTCCTCCTCCATGGCAACAAATGGCATTATCATCTACCCCACTGCTAAGGTCATACTAATTCCACTCTACTCCCACGCTTCATATGTAATCCATCTGAAAGTCCTATTTAGATGCTCACCAGTCTCCAGCAATAATAAACTTCTTTCTAACCATCCAACATACCAGCCTCATTCACTGCAGGGCCTATATATTTGTGTCCTCCAGAATCACCTGGCAGCTTCCTCACTTCAACATTCAGGTTTCAATTCAAATCAGTGCTTTAAGGCTCCTCCTCTGTGACCCTTGCTAAAGCAATGGCCTTGCAGAAGCCCACAAGCTCCATCCAACGACACTCTACAAAGCTTCGAAGCAATCACATCTAAGTTCCTGAAATTATTTTATTTATATTAGTCCACATATTTACATTTTGTCTCTTTCCTATCTCTCACCAGATGGTAAGCTCTTCTCTGAGAATAAGAGTTCTACCAGTCATATTCATTGTTTTATGACTGCTGCCTAAAATACAGAGGGCTCAATAAGTATTTCTAGATGGTCACACTCTGATTGTCTTTGAATCCACAGTAGCTAATACTCAGGAAGTGCTCAATAACTGTTTGTGAATGTAAGCAATTTGGCAACTGGAAATTTTTCTATTATGTTCCTTTCATAACCAGTTTGAATTAAATATATAAATGTTCCAAAGCTAAATCCATACTTACTACCGAGCAATGGTTGGTTGAGGATGATTCATTCTTCTCTGGGAGCAGCAATAGTGACTTCATATCTTCATCGTCTGTATAATCCACAGGCCGCAGACCAAATATGTTACTGGTAAAATAAGTGCCGATGTGTTTAAGTAAGTCAAATGTGTGACTTGATTCTTAACTACATGAATGCACCAGTAGAACAATTTTTCAACATCCTTAATAGTAAACAACTTTAACTAAAATAAATTACTCAGAACTCACATTAGGCAGAAAAATCTAGAATCAAAAGCTGCTGAACTCAAAGGAGAAATGATGCACAACTTCAGTTTGACATCAGATTATAGGGATTGTTTTTACTGGATATAGTATTATGAATTTTTCACAACTACATTCTGTATTCTTATATTAAAATATGGCTTCATAATCACTAATCACTATGAGTGACAGACTTTCAAATGTCAATAAAAATCATTTACTATAGCTATTATAGGCCCTATAGTCTATAAAAATCAATACAAAATTAGATAAATTCACAGGACAGGGATTTGGTTCTACTAGAAGGAAAATTATCCCATATAACAGTTTAATAATGTAGTTAACAGGGTACTTTAAAAATTAATTTAAACATATATGCATACAATAACCTATAATAATCACAACCACTGCAGAACAAACTATTATGAACCAGAGAGATACAACCTTCTAGCATGTACTAATTCACAAGTCACAGAATGTTACAATGAAAAAGATTTTAGAGATCAGTTTGATCCCGTTATTTTAAAGATAAGAAAACAAAGAGAGAAGAACAGGTTCCAATGGTTTAACTAAGGTCATATTCTCCTTGTTCAATTTCACTGAAATTAAATATTGCTCAGCCTTAATTTTTCAACTTTAAGTAGCTTGTTACAACTATAGAACTTCTTCTGTGTACTATTGTTTCCTTATATATGGTTTGAAAATATGATTTAAATATACTATTCTATGGCAGTAAGTTTTCAAAATGAGTAATTCTTTTATAGTCTTTTATGGTTTTTTAAAGATTATGCTATATTCATATAATGGCCATTGAAGTTCATGTGAAAATGCAATGTGGTAAATGGGATATAAAGTTATAAACATGGTATAATACCAATTCTGCAAATTGTATCAAATGTATAGAAAAAGATCTGGAAGGAAACAAAGAGAAACACTAGGGAAAGTGGGAGGCATAAAATGCCATTTTTGTTTGATGCTGCATAGAGGTCCTGTATATGAGGGATACAAGATCTACTGAGTTCACATACAAGGTCATTAATGACCTTGGTGAAAGCTGTTTTGATGGCAGAGTGGGAAAAGGAAGCTCATGGATTAGAATAAGAAATGAACCACAGCAAATGTTTCTCTAATGACTACAATTCCTGACTATCAGGTCCAGTTGCTATTTCTTCTTTGGACAGTCCTGGTAAACACTGACAGGTCTATATTCTGACTCCCCTTTATGTCCAAGTCCAACAACCTCCCCCTGGCAACAGTCTTTCTCCAGCCAAGATATAGCACGGTCGATTGCACTTCAGCTTTGTATTTTATTTTTTTATTTTTATTTTTATTTTTGAGATGGAGTTTAGCTCTTGTTACCCAGGCTGGAGTGCAATGGCGCGATCTCTGCTCACCGCAACCTCTGCCACCCGGGTTCAGGCAATTCTCCTGCCTCAGCCTCCTGAGTAGCTGGGATTACAGGCACGCGCCACCACGCCCAGCTAATTTTTTGTATTTTTAGTAGAGACGGGGTTTCACCATGTTGACCAGGATGGTCTCGATCTCTTGACCTCATGATCCACCTGCCTTGGCCTCCCAAAGTGCTGGGATTACAGGCGTGAGCCACTGTGCCCAGCCCCAGCTTTGTATTTTAAAACAAAGTGACACATGTCACTGTTTACATTTACAGCAGACAATCTCATGGTGTTTTAAAAGAAACTCATCTACTACTCTTGATACTTACTAATTCATTCTCTAAATTATTACGCTCATATACCAACTACTCAATCTCCTCACACACATACATGCTATGCATATGACAATCAAAAAACAGAAGAGAGTTGAAGAACCAATATTCTAGGTCTTAAACCAAGTACAAAAATGAATAAATATAACAAAAATATTATGTCATATTATACGCCATCAAAAAAAAAAAAACAACAAAAAAAAACTTCGTAGTCATGATTGCACCACTGCACTCCAGCACGACCAAGAGACACTGTTTTGATGAAAACAATAAATGAGGGAAAAAAGAAAAATCAATGCACACACATGACTTTTAACAGAGACAAACATAGATCTTACACCTCAAAAAAATAAAAGAGCCTAATCAAGTGCACTTTAATGCAGAGCAACTGAATTACATTAGCATAGTTATTTTACACACATATGAATAAAAGTCCACTATGACAACATGAAAAACTGTTAGAGTGCTTCTCAAAGTACCACCTTCAGCTAAGGAGGAATTTAAACCAAAAATCAACCAATAACACATGTTCTAGGCCAGTAAGATGATTTTATAAAGTGACTACCTGGGTTCCAATTTACATTTAGGATCCTTACTATACAAAGTCTACTATCTCACACCGTCTTAAAACATGTGGTTTCTCTGCTTGGATTACTAATCGCTTCTGCTCACACACAATTCACTAAATTCTTAGCCCTCCTGTAATGCTAATGAACTGAATGGCACATTACAAGTGCTACATATTTGGAAAGATAATCAGTTAACCTCAGTCCTGTATCATGGGAGATAGAGCCTATTAAATCCAGTCATGTTGCTTCTGCTTTGTCATGAACCATTAAAATTTGGAAGCAGACCTAAGTTTACATGTGGGACCTTCAAAGACCATAGCAAGAGAAGATGGGGCATGTGTAAGATTTATTATTATTTGGGCACAATAATGTGTGCTTTCTTCTCACTGATACATTTGAACAGACTAATGCTTTAGAGAATTAGTGTGAAAAATCAATTTAAAATGCTCCGAGTTGTATTTCATTCCCTTTGTAAAACAAATAGGTACTACATAGAGGAAAAATTGCATGTTACAACATGTATCAGGAACTATTAATATGAGTTATTACTAAAAGAAGGCAGTGATAAATACATTATTCTTCATCACCACACAAAGGAGGAAGACTTTTAGATTTACTACATCATGGACTCAAAACAGACATCAATAACTTGATTTGCTATTTATTAGAAAGGGTTATCAGGGAAGCTTATAAATACAGGCTTTTTCTAATTATACTTAAATACAGTAAATTATCTCTTTTCTAGCATGATTCAACCTAAAGTCTTACCACTCAAACTAGGTGTTTTGGAGGGATATGTAAGACTTAGAAAACATTGTCCTTGCCTATAATCCTACTGAGGATAAACACTCATTCAACAAACAGGTATTGTAAACCCAAACAAATAATGAGGTGACATAGAAGATGGATTTAAATGGCCTTGAGCCTAGGACTAGAAACTGGAATATGGTGGTTAAATGTTAAGGGCCCATGCAGGAAATAAGCAATAAGATTATTGAAATGTATGGAACTGACGGAAGAAAGCTTCTATCAAACCTTCTAAGCACTGTGTGCTCATGTGCAGAAACGAAACACAGTATGAAAAACGAATGAAAGAATCAGGTATAAAACAATGAACATTAGAAACAGTGTATGTCGCTGTGAAAATGGAAAGGCACATGTGTCTACTACATAAATGATATGGATCAATGCAACACCAAAGTAATTAAAACTATTCTGGAATATATGAAAATGTCACGATCCTAACTGCTGAATTTACATCTAGTACATGACAGTATATTAATATCTTTTTACATGTACCACTTTTGACAGTCAATTATTTTAATGCCCTATCAAAGAGAGTCTCGAATTCAGTGAAATGCAAATGATTATATGTAGACACTATACTTTACCTATACTAACATGGTTTCAATTTGTGTCCCCACCCAAATCTCATGTAGAATTATAATTTCCAATGCTGGAGGAGGGGCCTGGAGGGAAGTGACGATCATGGGGGTGGATTTCCCCCTTGCTGTTCTTGTGACAATGATTGAATTCTCAACAGATCTGGTTGTATAAAAGGGTGTAGTACTAATGATCAGGGAAATGCAAATCAAAACCACAATGGATACCACCTTACTCCTGCAAGAATGGCCATAATTAAAAAATCAAAAAATAACAGACGTTGGCATGGATGTGGTAAACCAGGAACACCTCTACACTGCTGGTGGAAATGTAAACTAGTACAACCACTAAGGAAAATGTGGAGATTCCTTAAAGAACTAAAAGCAGAAGTACGATTTCATCCAGCAATCACACTACTGAGGAAAAGAAGTCATGATACATAAAAGATACTTGCACACACATGTTTATAGCAGCACAATTTGCAATTGCAAAAAAGGTGGAACCAACCCAAATGCCCATCAATCAACAAGTGGATAAAGAAACTGTGGTGTATTTATACAATGGAATACTACTCAGCCATAAAAAAGGAATAAATTAATGGCATTTGCAGCAACCTGGATGGGACTAGAGATTATTATTCTAAGTGAAGTAACTCAGTAATGAAAATCGAAAATTCTATGTTCTCACTCATAAGTGGGAGCTAAGCTATGAGGATGCAAAGGCGTAAGATCCCCCCGGGGGACTCGTGAAAAGGTGGGAAGGTGATGAGGGATAAAAGACTACAAATTGGGTTCAGTGTATACTGCTCGGGTGATTGGTTCACCAAAATCTCACAAATCACCACTAAAAAACTTACCGATGTAACCAAATACCACTTGTTCCCCAAAAACCTATGAAAATAACAAAATTATAAATAAATAAATATAAATGGTGTAGCACCTCCCCACCTCTTCCTCCTGCCCCGGCCATGTAAGACGTGCCTGCTTCCCCTTTGCCTTCCACCATGACTGTAAGTTTCCTGAGGCTCTTCCTGTACAACCTGGGGAACCATGAGCCAGTTAAACCTCTTTTCCTTATAAAGTACCCAGTCTCAGGTCTTTCTTCACAGCAGTATAGGAACGGACTAATACATATACTGAATTCTAAAAATTACAATGTCATTAATTTTTTTCTGTTCCTTGACAGCAC